TTCCATTTGGTTACAAAGTGATGAAACTGCGAGAGGGCTCTGTAGACTTTTAGTCTTTTTCATATTGTTTAACCAAATCCCATTTAAAAATCCCAAACCATACTAACAATATTTTAGTCCATTTCTCAATACTTTCCAACTTCCCTACCCTATCTGTAACACTTGGCCCCCAGACCATCTGTGCCTACTTATGCAAGTCTTTAAAAATGAGTCAACTTTGGAAGGAAATTAGGGAAAAGGTGCACATTGATGCACAATACATGGAAAATACTTCCATGTATTGGAATGGTGCCCCCCATAAAAATTATTTTGGGTTTTAAAAATGGGTGTAAACATCTTCTTCCTTAAATTGTTGGAACATGCTCACACAGAATATATATGATGGCACACACAATGTGGAATAATGATTTGTCCATCATGAAAGCTATATGCAAGGAGGGAAATGTGGCAACGTAGGCTCATTCTACTGCTGCTAATTTATGCGTTGTTATTCATATATTTATATGTCTAAGTGCTGGAGTTGTTAGCTGCATGTTTGCATACACCGCCTAGGCAGTCGTCTTCTTTGCATCCTATTTCCCTCTGATGTATACTGTCAGCGTTTGCTTGCTGCAATGGCCTGATTCCCCGCAGGGATCATTAATGTTTCATCTAATCTAATCGAACTCCTGCTGTCACCACAGAGCCGGCTCACAGTCAAAGACACCGGCACAGAGCAGGCAAAGCCGGATTAGAACACAAAAATCACGTTTGAAGTAAAGCAGACGGCGATAAGCTCATACGGAGTCATAAAAATGTGGATGCATTGTAAGGGAGGAGTATGGAAATAGGCCATTGTGTCAGCTCATGGTTAACTTCAAGGAATTTCTGTGCATAGACGCTGAATGGAATAGATGTGAAACACAAAGGGGTTCACTCTTCCTGTGCCTGTGAAGTCCTGCGGTGTAACAACCTGCTAATTCACCTGTAAACGTGTTTTATGGCCCGATTATCGTCAGAGTCTTTTGAAAATCTCTTTTCCTCCACATTCCAAGCTCTCTGTGAAGGAGTGAAAGGGTTAGAGGCAGACGGAAAGTGAGAGTGTGAAAGATCATGTGCGTGTTCGCGAAGAAGGAGGAGGGGGAGGGGTGACGCTGAGAAGAAAGATAGAGAGGGAAGTGAAAAGGAAAGAGAGAGGAACACTTTGATGCATAACGATTTCATAAGGCCAGTGTGACCTGTTCAGGCAGTCCACACACTCACGCACACCCACAGGACTCAGTGGCGCTGTATTGACATACTGCATGGTGTCTACACACACAGACAGACCATGCAGCATGTTACATATGTGACTTTCTACCTGACAGCACCACATGACATGGGGAACAGAAACAGCACACGTCTGTCTCTGTCACTTCCCCCGGTGGTGAGCAGTGGTCTCTTTATGGTCACAGATTCACGTATGCACACACACATACCTTCCCCTGCTTCCAGTGTAATGCATTGTTTTAGTACTGTTGTGTGTGTGTGTGTGTGTGTGTGTGTGTGTGTGTGTGTGTGTGTGTGCGTGCGTGCTAAGTCCGGTGCTAATGCGTCCAGCCAGGCAGCACTGATACAACAGTGAGAGGAAAGATCAAGCCGGCTTTGTGCCCAACTCAGGATCTCGGCTACAGAGTGGCTGAAATGGCACACAGCCATTGTCACAGGTTTACTGCGGTCATGCACACGCACGTGCACACCAGCACTGGCACAGATATACAAGGTGCAATTACAACACTGTTTAACATCAGTGAATCATTGCCATATTATTTTGAGGCATTGATATAGTTACTGTAAACAAACAAGACCATTGATCCCAAGTGACGGGCAGCCTCTAATGGCTTCTCTTACATTGTGTGCCACTGGAGCAGCCATCATGATGAAAGAAAATACAAAGACTGCTGCACTATGATGGTTAAAGCTGCACTGATTTTCAGCCAATTGAGGGCAGATTGAGGAACAAGCTGTAAACACAGCATAAACATTTTATCACCCTCTGAAGTTGATACGGCAACACCTACATCAGATTGTAGTTTGTTGATTTCAGCTCAGTATTCAACACAATCTCCCTCGTGAAAACGGATCGGTAAACTCAGCACCCTGGGCTTGAGTACCCACACTCTGCAACTGGTTATTAGACTTCCTCACAAACAGACCCCAGGCAGTTCGGATTGGCAGCCACACCTCCTCCACTCTTGTGGTGAAAACCGGAGCCCCCCCCCCCCCCCGGGGACGTGTGCTCAGCCCCCTCATGTTCACGCTGCACACCCACGACTGCAACCCACCGACATGAAGAGAACTCTGTTGGGAAGTTTGCGGCCGACGCTACTATTATCAGCTTTATTATAAGCACCGATGAGAGGAAATCAACAATCTTGCAGTGTGTTGCTTGGACAACAACCTACTGCTTAACTAAAACAAAACCAAAGAGCAGATTGTTGGTTTTAGAAAAAAGGAGGCAAAGACACACACCTGTCATCATATATTCCTCACTTAACTTCTTCTGTCTCTCCTCCTACCGTCTACCAGGACCTTTGTGTATGTATGTGTCACCTTTCTCCTACTTCCTGCTGCTAGCTGCAGCTTGTCCGGTGTGGAGAAGCAGCCTCCACCTGTAGAGAGAACAGGGGGAAGGTGAGGGGGAAGGTGAGGTGCCAGGTTACAAACACACCCAATGTCACTGTGTCCGTTCTGCTCCCCTGCCCACCCCCACAGTGTGCAGTGCACCCCCCCTGCCCTGCATACATTACAAGCACCCCGTACATTTCTACAGTGGTGTCGAACAGTGTACCCGCTAATCTGATGCCTACAAGCATTGTGCAGGCTCTAATGGGATCAACAATACATTCTACATGGTGTTCACCGGCCTATTAAATCATTTCAAATAATTTATTTACTAATTTTTGTCAAAACAGCTTCAATGATGAAATTAAATATTTGATGAATAAATAAATATCAAATATGTTGCGTTTTTTTTTTTTGTTTCGTCTTCAACCCTTAATGTTTCTGTGTAAATGAAATATGACAGGCTGAACACATGTGTTTACCTTTTTACGTCTCCTTGCTTCCACTGGTTACCCCATGTTTAACGTCACATTGCAATGCATATTGGGTAATTTCCTTGGGCAAAGTCGGCATCTAATGCTGACTTACGGAAAGGGCTCAACATGTCTGCCAGAGAGCCCTCAAACACTTCTTGAGTTGCTTCTTCTCATCAACCCTCACATGAGTCTGGAGATTGGGCCCATGTTAGCTTGCTAGCAGTCTTCTTCTTCACTGCTTTTGTTGGTGCCTCGCTGCAGTACGTTTCT